TGAATATTTACTTGATATTATAATATCTATGAAGATTGTATTTTTTTTTATAACAGATGGTTGATAACCACACACCAAAAAAATTCTTCGCATGCCTTAAAGATTGCACGTATCTATTCATTTTCTAAACGCTTTTAGTAGTAATATTATACCAGAAAGAAAGAAATAACACTCACAAGTTTTATACTTGTGATTTTGTTTTTTTATAGTAGTGAGTATTTCGCTTGTAGTATTGTGAAACGCAGCACTATCACATGTAATTCTACTCTTCATACGTAAAATTATCACACGTAGCACTATTATACATAGAACCATCATACGTAGCACAATCACATTTAATACTAACACTATTACCACGCTAATAATACCTTCTATTTTTATAAATTTACAGTACGAATCCCCAAAATTCTATATTTCTATAATCTCGAATAAGATCTTTAACATACACGTATCTCTAGCAAACCTTTGAAAAACGAAAGAGAAGAAACAATTGTATATCAGCGCGCAGCAGGAGTATGTGCGTATATAATAGAACCGCGTTTAAAAATCTATTATGATATTTAAATCTCGCGATTTTATTATACAGTTTAATATCATCATTGATGATAAATTGTTTCTCAACGATTTTTTAAACATGTACATTAAAAATATTATCGAGATTACAGAGTTTTGAGGATTCACACTGTGTGTAAAAAAAGGAACTACTATTAGCGTGCTAATTGTGATATTATAGATGATAATACTACATATGATAGTGTTACGCGTGTGATAGTTACATGTAACAGTGCAATGTTTCATAATACTACGAATAAAAATACAAGCAAAGTATAATAGTGTACTTGTAAATATTATTTCCTCCTTTTTATAATATCTGTATTTAATTAAATGTTTTGTATTAGAATATTTTACTCTCGAGCCGTATATTTTATCATTTTCTTTGGTATATTTTTAATGGAATAGACATATGGAGGAAACCATTAAAAAAAAATGCATCTGCAATAGTATCTCAAAGATGATGTGAAAAAATATCTTAATTCTAATTATCATACATTATTGTCATTTATATTTTAAAAAATATATATCTAAATAAATAATAGAAAATTTTATTTATAAAAATTATGTTAAAAGTACAAATTTCTCCTATAGGTATGTTACAAACGTACTTATTTTTCACTAAAGGACACTTCTGAGACACTTCTGAGCGCCGTGTAATCATCGGCTCGAGCGATAGTGGAGACATTGGGTCTCGCTTCAGGAATCGGCCCGAAATGAATAACTAATTCCGATAACTATGATTTAATGTTTAGGACATTTGACGGAAACATTTTTGTTCTTATTAATATTGTAAAACGAGGTAATTTAGTACTTCTAATTGGCAACAAATTTTATAAAATGGAAGATAACGATACTTACTCACTTTCTTCCTCAATATTGGGTATAGTAAAAGTTTCAAGTTTGGACGATGTAAGACATACAATTTCTGTGGAAAATGTAGCCAAATGTAGCCAAGCCAAATACTGGTGGCAAGCTTAATGCCTGATGATCAATTTTTTTCTATGTATACCATTGCTGCGTATTATGCCATTATTGGAGGATTCAATTGTCTATATTTCATTTTCTGATACATATGCTATTTATATTGTTATAAGGTAAATATATTATATTTCCAGTTATTGGATAGTTAGTGGACATAATCGAATTATTGAAATAACAACAATTTTAAATATTAAGCTTTTAATAATATATACAACTGTAAATAAAATTTGTTTGTTCATAAAAATTTAATAACATAAATTTATCAAAAGATGTGCGCATCATTAAAAGTTTAATATTTAAATAATATTTAATTTTTATTTAATAATAAAATTTTTATTATTTTAACTAATTGGTACATTATTTTTACCTTATAGTATTATTTCTCGTTATTTTTTAATAATTGTGTATTTATCAATTCTATCAAATGTAAACTGTCAAAGATCCATGAAGTTGCTCATCATGTAGTTAATAATTATGTTGTTATTTATGTTTTATTACAAAATGCCTTTGTCGTTTATTCATTTATTTTATATTTTATTCTCTGCTTTATATTTCAGTTTACTGTTGTAAAATTTATATCAATTTCAGAAGATGATAATATTTATTATGAAGTTGCCCTGGCAAAATGATTAGTACAAATTGACGATAACATAATTAGAAAACTGCTGTGCTTAAAGAATAATTCAGTAATGGGAAAATTAGTACCGAAGCAAAAACAGAAATTTGATAATAGTTTAAAGTAGAATTTAAAAGATATTATGATACGTTTTATATAATGGTGTGATATGGTATAATATGATATATAAAAGGAGATTTATGAAACAAACATATCAGTTATAACTTTTCATCTATTTAATATTAGATAGGAAAAAATTCATGGCGTTTTTCCCGTTAAATGGCATTAAAAAAAACGCCACGAACTATTTTCCATACCTAATATTATGTTTTAAATTGATCTCTTGAAATAAGATTTGTATACACTATATACTTTTAAATGTCGATATTACTCTTTTTCTTCGAAATATTTTAATGATATGAGCTTATAGTTATTAAGAAAATCAGTAAATATAATATAAAATATGTAATAACACACACACACACACACACACACACACACACACACACACACATATACAGGATGAATCACAGTAGTTAACCAATTTTTCAAACCAATTTTTTATTCTGTGAAAAAATTATCGACTACACACTTAACTATCTGCTTAACGGCACAGATCGGATGCGTAGATAACATCGTGCGAATTGCTTTTATATCTGTTGTAGAAACGTATATTGCTGTCAGAAATGGGCTTTGAAGACTTATTATCTGCCTATAAAAGTAAATCGGCTTGTCAGATGAGCAGGAAAAGGAGAAGAAAGCGATTAATGAACCCGTTTATATCTAGCTCAGATTCATATAGTGACTCTGAAAATAAAACGGTTTCTCTTGTATCACTTCCTCTCTAGGTATACCTTCTTTAACGAAGTCTTTAAGTATCGCTTCAAATAATATTACTGAATTAACAATTAATCGTAACATAAAAAAAAGAAAGACAGCTATTGCTTCTCTGGTAGCTACTGGCAGCCACTTCTAAACAGAACAAGTTTGTGCAACAAATTATTAATCATAGGTAACAAGTTGCTAAAAAGGCATTGGAACGGAAAAAAGCAATGTCTTTGGCAACTATACATAAGCTATCTCTGAAAAAAGCAGTCAGTAGCATTATGTAATACCATATTATGTAAGGCATCAATAAAACTTTTAGAGGCAGATGGAAATTGCGAATTTACATTTCAATCTTCATCAATCTTTGTCATCGTTAAAACGCGCAATCTATTAAACAGTCATTATCAAATAATAATGAAAAGTCAAATGAAAACAGCAGAGACTCTGATAAAAAAAAATCCAGAAGCTTTATTACAGACTGTCTCGATGTCAGTATTACGTATTTATATCGTTATGTTAATTAGAAGTAAAATTGAACTCACATTTTTTGTAAACTGTTTTAATATAAATCCAAAACTTTGATTTCAAACAATATATTAAGAAAGACATGTGTTCTATGTTTTAAATGTTTTTTATTGATAATATAGTAATGATTAAATTATTATTATTCAGAAGAGCAGAAAAAATGCATAAAATTGGACCAAAAAGTAAACAGTATGAGAGCGAAACTGGATGTGACACTTATTAATCAATTTAAAATTAACAGAATTTTAATGCCAATAGAAAAAGTTCTTTCTAAACAAACATGTCTGTACTTCCTTTAAATACCACAAAGGTCACAATGTTTGAGAAATTTTTTTCAAATGATATTAACTTTTTGGACACAATGAGTAATGTTTAATATGCTTTTATGATAATATTCATTTATAATAAAGTAAATTGCATTTCCCAAACATAAATAGCACATATTATATTAAAATCACTAAGTTCTTAAGATTTTACTCAGGTATACCATTATGTTATTTCTGTCATTCTAAGTTGACATAAGTTAGTAATATTAGTGTTTCAAGTCTATTATTACACACTTAATATTTTTTTACTTGATATTGTCGTAATAAAAAGTAATTACTTTTACATATTCGTTTTCGTTTCAAAATTTTTTTTTAATTAAAATTAAAAATTAAAATTAAAAATGAAATTTTTTTTATATTTTAATGTTATTACTTAAAAACTCTTTCTTTGGGAAATGATGCTCGAGCAGTATATTTAAACTTATGTCTCATTACTAATTCTTTTACCGAAAAGTTTAATTTTTAAGGCCATGGATTAAAATTAGCTTTAAAATCTACAAAATTATGGGAATTGGTATAAGGTTAGTTAATTTCAAGTGAATAAGTGACAAAAAAGGAGAAAAAAAGCGAGAGAGAGAGAGAGTCATAACTGAAACTTTTCTCTGCTATTTATGTTCTAGTTGTTAAGAATCTTTTATTAATCGAGTTAATTTTTTCATTATTTTATCTTATCTGCTAAATATTCTTTTTTTCATAAATATCAATATTCTTTGATTCTGTACATTTTTCAGGTACACCGCTCATGAAATTCGCAAAAAGTGATCTCCATTAGGCAATGAGGTCTATCAAGTCGTGAAAATGCCAAAGAAAGAAAACAAAGAAAACATTTATTTATTATTTTTATTCACTTTTTATTATTAGATTTGTTGCCAATTAATTTCATATTTTATGTTTATTTTGTGTTTTTTCCATTTTGTTTCAAAAGTATCAAACACTTTATATTATCTTTCAATTTAGGAATGTGTTCGAGAACGCGCGACAAATACAAGTAAAGAAAGAGGACTAAGAATACTATTGTAACTTCATTAAAGAACACACAGGTTATAAGTTCATGCATAATTACAATTTATTCAAAGCATTACAATTCAATTTCTAGACGGAACACACTCACAAAAGAAAATTTTACATGAAAATTTTACGGCATAGCTTGAAGTTTTATTCGGCGGTTTTCTATCTCTACGGTTTTCTCGGCGAATACTAACTAAGGAAGAAGTGCCAACGGCTGATTCACATTTTTATCAATTTGGTGAGACAAGGCATTGATCTTCCATGAATTGGAACATTTTATTACGCAACAGTATGGCATTGTGTATGCTGTAAATACAGAGAATTATTATATTTTTATATTCATAAATACTATTCATACAACTATTCTACTTTCTATATTTATAACATATTAATTTTTTGTTAGAACGTGAATACATTTTATATTTTTCTCACTATATAATTTCAGTATTTTTGCTTTATTTATTTACTTATGCTCCTTATAACCTCTGTGCTGGATTTATTCTCTCTCTCGTTTTTGTTGCACTAATGCAAATATACGGCAGAAATGCGCAGATGTGTCCACCATTTTTAGGCACCAATTACTGGATTCTGTATTTTTTACTCGCACGCTCTCGCTACCTGTTGTTAGACTTGAGTAGTCGGCTACGGTAGCTAAGGTAGCTGGCTGTTTGTGTATGATATGAGCTCTTTTTTTCCTAAAAAGGAATACGCGAAATAAATTAGATGTCACATCAATAGTTACTAGAATTTTCTAGAAGCTCATATCATATACAAGAAATTAAGAGAGATAATTTTTCGTATTAATGATAATTTTACAGATTTTCTCTGCCGATATACAATGTATCGCAAGATTACCTTTCAATCTCAAACATTTCCGCCCGTCTCGTCCCTGATGACGAAGAGGTTGCTGCCAGCACTATTGCGAATGTCGCGATTGCGAGAATATTATTGATCGGCGCTATCGATTGTAACGATAGTTCGCGGCCACGTGTGAGCTAGTATGATTAGATTATATTGCTTTATGAAATATAACTCAAAGATAAAGTTCTCATTCTGCGAACATTGTATCTCTGCCACTGCGTGTGATGTATTATTTTATAAAATAAAAGCGCGACACGAAAGAATGACGCGAGTGATCAAATGAAGAGTATAGTTTCTATGAAAAGGTACATGTGAGATAATAAGAATTGTTAAAAGTAAATAATGAAACCATGGTAACAACAATAGAAAATAATGGAAAATGATAAAAGATGCTCAAAACCTTATGAAATGAATTAAAGAAAATAAAGAAAAATAAAGAAAAATATAGGAAAAATGCGTCTGCCGTTTACGCATCTTCGGGAGAGGTATTCGTGTTTATGTCGGCAATATTTGATTAAAGGCCGGATGAGCTTGGATGAGATAGTGCAAACTGTCACCACACAGATCACACTGTCGTCTCTAGGATGCAGCTTGATAATCCATGCCAAGACACGGTGGTGTTACTTCGGAACAGAGAAGATATAGCGAATCAATGCGTGATGATGTTTCCTGTTCAGTCCATTTTGGACAAGCGACTAAGATACTCGCGCGACCATCTCTGCCAGAACTGATCGCACATTTTCTGGATATGTTATCTAGAAAGAAAATTAGCTTGATTTATTGGGAGTACAAATTAGTTCGGTTCGTTTCTCTAAAGATAGCTCCAGCTGTTGTGAATGGTTCATAATGACAGCTGATTTCGGCGGTTTCAGAGAGGTTAAACATCTGCTAATAATATTCAGTTTATGTCGCTTTGAGTTTCATACAAAAACCTTGATTTTTACTATGTTTGAAATGTCGAATTTTGTATTAACCAAGCAGCATTTGCTTGGGAAGTTTTGATTTTCTGCTTTAATTGGAAAAAAAATGCGGCTGAAGCCCATCGAATGCTTGTCAAAGTTTATGGTGATACTGCTCCAACTAATAAATTATGTAGGGAATGGTTTCGACGTTTCAAGGATGAAGATTTCAACGTTAAAGACAAGCCTCGCTCTGGACAGCCAAAAAAATTCGAAGACAAAGAATTAGAGGCATTACTTGAAGAAGATCAGAGTCAAACGAGAGGAGCTTGCAGAATCATGGGGGTAACTCAACAAACTGTTTCTGTATTGAGAGCCATGGGAATGATTCAAAAACAAGGAAATTGGGTGCCTCATGAAATCGAGAGACATTAGAAGGTGATTTTTCATTTGTGAACAGCTGATTCAAAGACAACAGAGAAAAAGTTTTTTGCATCGGATTGTGACTGGAGAAGTGGATATTCTATGACAACCCCAAGAAAAAAAAATACTACGCTAAGTCCGGTCAATCGTTGCCATCGACCTCAACATCAACACCACGGCCGAATTCATGATTCGAAAATCATACTCTGTATCTGGTGGGACCAAAAAGGTCTTGTTTACTGCTGAAACCTGGCGATTCCATTACGGGCGATCGGTATCGGCTACAATTGATTCGTTTGAGCTATGCATTACGTGAAAAACGGCCGGATACGAGCAAAGACATGATAAAGTTATTCTTCTTCATGACAACGCTCGGTCTCATGTCGGTAAAGTCATAAAAAAGTATTTGGAAATGCTCAAATGGGATATTTTACCGCACTCGCCGTATTCTCCGGACATTGCTCCTTCTGATTACTGATTGTTCCGAAGGATGCAGCACGATTTAGCAAGTCACCGCAGAAATCAAAAATTGGCTCCAAAATTGGATCGCCTCCAAAGGTGAGTCATTTTTTCGAGATGGAATTCGAAAATTGCCTGAGAGATGGGAAAAAGTAGTAGGCAGCGATGAACAATATTTTAATTGATCTGTTCATTCATTTTGTTTTGAAATAAATGCATTTTTGAACACAAAAAAACGAACCGAACTAATTTGTACTCCCAATAATTAAAAAAAATTCTTTATCAAACTTACAATGTCGCATTTAGACTAATTTTTAAATTTAAACATGGGACTCATAATAATCATAAATTTAACAATTTTTTTTTAGTAAATTTTGACGTGCTTGAAATGTTATTGATCAGTAATCAATAATAGTTTCTGGATCCAAATGATTTTTCAACCAATCCAATTTTAAATTGATAGAAAAAAATTATATACTCATAACATAATATTTTAAAAATAAGGAATAAATTTGAATAAATAAATTTAAAGTATCGATTATATTTATCATAAGATTTATAAGATTAATCAATGATTCTTTTAATTAACGGTTAATATATCAGTTAATTACCAGTCATAATTTTGATTTTATATAATGGAAATGTTTAAATAATGTCTCGGAAGAATTTTTTTTTATTAATACAGGTGAATAAGTATAAGAATTTTCATCCCTACATAATTCTGTAATTAAGATTGCTAATTCTGTAATTAAGATTGCTTCAAACTGTTGACGTTTTATTCTAAAAATGAGATTTAATTTGAAAAAATTTCGAAACAAGTGATAGTCAGAGGGAGCAACGTCTGGAGAATACGGCGGGTAGGGTAGGACTTCCCATTTCAACGTTTCCAAGAATGTCTTGACCACTTTCGCAACATGGGGTCGAGCATTGTCATGCTGCAAAATCACTTCATCATGTCTCTCGTTGTATTGCGGCCGTTTGTCTTTCAATGCTCGGCTCAAACGCATCAATTGCGTTCGATACCGATCTGTGATTGTTTCAGTCGGTTTTAACAGTTCATAATACACTACGCCGAGCTGGTCCCACCAAATACAGAGCATGACCTTGGACGTCAAAATCACCGTTCTTGAAGCGTTGAAACCACTCACGACATGTTCTTTCACTAATAGCGGTCTCACCATAAGTATTTGAGAGCATTCGAGCCTCAGCCGCAAATTTCTTCATATTGAAGCAAAAAATTAAAACCTCCCGCAAATGACGAGAATTTGGCTCGTAAACTGACATTTTCAATCGAGAATAACTTTATGATGCAGACACAAATTGACTAATGTTTCTATGGGGTTATGTTGACAGATGCCCTAGTTTATTGTATGACGTCTATGATCTATTTATTTCGACCACCACTTACCGCTAAAGCCATCTAAAACGGCAGAAGCAAAGTTGTACACCTAATATGTCGTTTGGATTGTAGAGAGATCGTGCAAAAACTAGGAATTCAGACAGGCTTACACTTGCGCCAAGAGCGTGCTTATTTTTTCGAAGAGTTTCGCTTCATCGATGACTCATCGCAGATGAGTACTTTGTAGATTACACCACCGCTTCCCAGAGGCCCCCGAAATGTGCGGACGGTGGATTGAAATGCCATTGAATTCTCTCTGTAGAGGCGGTGTGGGCAATGCGATGGCCGTTGGTTGACGAGGCATGAAGCAGCTCCCGTAACTGTCTGTTCGCTCTTGCGAAGTTCGTATCACAGTCCAAGAAGATATCCGAACAGAGGCTTCAATGTGACATGAAACGGCAGAATACTGCTAGAAATGCCTCTCGTATAGTCGGAAACTATACGACAGAGGCATTTCTAGCGATCATTAACGCCTCGATATGAACGGCCTTAGAACAGAGACACACGAAGATGGGGACGATGACCGCCTTGTCCTCGTCCCTTATTTTTACGGATGAGCTCAACGTAATCGACGTCAGTTCGAAGAAATGAACGTGCTCGAATTATTCGTCTTTGAGGGAAATCACCTATCGGAGGTTGCGTGACTACTCTCCAACGGGTGCATCTTATGCATCGATATAACTACTGTTTCACAACGATTCGGACCCGTGCAATCCAAAAGCGGAGCTGGAGCATTCCTGTCAGCTAGACTCCTCCATGGAGAGTACGGTAGTGATAGGACTCCACAATTAAATGTGTTGTCATGATTCGGGTGGCAATTTTAGTGGATGTCGCTCGTCGATGAAAAGTGCTGCGTCATACGACGTCTCTGAGAACTCCATAGTCATCAGCATAGGAATGTGTGTTTCAGCCGACTCTGAGAAGTTATTTTTGCCGGCGGTTGTCTCGTCCGAGTAGTGTAGAGCTTACACCATACGGAGCCAACGAGTGAGACGAAAGAGCTCTTCGGGACGCAGTAATGGTTCTATTCTCTTCGAGACGACAGGTCTCTTTCGATGATGGCGAAGACACCAGGAGGTGACCCTCAGGAGGTGACTCTCAGGAGGCGATGCAATGATGAAAACCTGAGTAAAATCTCTGTGACACTCCGGACAGCGGTGACGTGCGTGACGGCTCTCGTCTCAGGAAGATCCTCTGCAGGAACCTCTTCGTCTCCGCTCGGCCAGTCCGTGACGACAGGCGAGATTCATTAGAGAGGAGAAATGATTGATGAGCTCGTTCGGCGTAATCTTCTGGGAGTCGCAGTTGGTCGGATTCTTCCTTCCAGGAACGTGATATCATCATGCTTCCGGAAGCAGCCCCTAAATCCGCAATTGGCCATATAAGTTTTTTATGCATTACCCTTAATCCATGCGTGTATGAGCAGTGAAGGTTGAGTAGGAGTTCCGCGACGCAATGTTCCAAGCGCGGCAACAAAATCGGCTTGATTGGTACGATTTTACTCTTCGCTGCAAGCAAATGGATTGTGATATCAGCGGTGACAATATGAAGATAAATTGCGACGGCATAACTTCGCTCGGACGCGTCGGCAAAATCGTGAATCCTTATCGTCGCTGCCTAGCCAGCGTGGAACGCGGAAACTTTCGAGTTGCGAAGACATCGCCATTGTAGGGCAGGACGGAAGAGGAGCATTCTACTCCAATTGTTGCAACTAGGTTACCTGACTGAGTATTTTGGCTCAGATTACCATGGGTATCAACCACCCAAGCGGGTCGAAGAATCGATTCGTTTTCGCGAAAACGCGCCTCTTGATATATTCAGTAATAGTGCGGGAATGTATGGTGAAGATGAATCGTCGGTAGGATACCAGCGGAACTGGTATCGTGATCTGCATACTCCCAGATGTAATCCAGATGATGTAAATCCTTTATAAAGCAATGCGCGAGTGGAATTCCGACAAAAAGTTCGCGGCTGTTTACGGCTCATTTTCAAAGTGGAAACCCATCCACCGTGCAGAGTCGGCGGAGTTCAGAGTGCACCGTAATCGCGTCTGCCAGTATGTATGTTCCAATGACAATACTGATATAGCAATACTGATAATCGCGACGAAGTCCTGCAGAAATCAAGCTTCTGCGTCCTCAGCGAGCAACAAAACATGCGGATGCCTAAGAAAGGCGCGCATGCGCCGTACATGACCGTCTTCAATATATACTCGCGAATAGGATCAATGTTGGTGCATCGCACCAAAGAATGCGCTGGTAATTGCATAATTCCTCCGGAAAGATGAAAATCTGGCGGTACATCTCGATATCGGTATACCAGCGCATAATACCAACGCATCAGCACGTCCGCTAAAGCCGGAAGCAGCCGATTAATAACCTTGAATTGAGCGACTCATTGAACTTAGTGCGTTGATATCCATTGAAGATAATTCTGAGTTTGGTGATGACGCTTGATTCCCGGAGCATCCCGATGATGAGATAGGTAGCACTTTTTTATATTTGAGGCCGACGAATCTTGCGCTAACTACATATGATCTAAATATTCTTGCAGGAAAATACGATAGCGTTCTCCGAACCGGGAATCACGACCACTCTATCATTCCACAATTAGCAAACGTTCTGCTGGTTTGCAAGTTTTAAGGATTGTCGGCAGAGAAGTAAATGGCAGTCGCATTATATATCGCCCTTCAGCTGTACATTCATAGATTTACACGAAAATTTTCTCGCATCGCTGCTCGCTTGGCGTGAGGATAACTGGAGCGAAGACTTCCTCTTCACAAGCGTTAAACAAGCGCTGCCAGACCATTGCCGGCCTTGTACTTCAAACGAGCTGTCTGGTTGTCGCAGGCGCCCCATCGCAGCCTTCGGAAATCCAATCCAAGAAATGAGTTCTGAGCGATGAGATCCAAGAAATGAGTTCTGGGCGATGAGAGCTTGTAAACCTCTTTTGCGGAGATCTTTCTGAAGAATAAACAAGCATACCGAACAGTTCAAGTAGGATCATTGGCCATAAATTGCAGGTCAGCTAGCGGGAGCCTCTCCAAGTGAGGGCACTCGGTTCTATTCTTTGCATCGTGATACAGTGAGGGGCATAGAAGAATGAAAATGATGGCAGCGAATCTGATATTGATTGTTAAAGACATTATGCCGAGAGTCACTTTTCTTCTACTTGGTCCAGAGCATTAATACCAAAGATTGAATCGGCGGATCGAGATCAGGTGCAGATCATGTCTAGCGCTTCCGAAATTAAAGACACATTGGAACCCTGGTCGAATCAGTGCTTGTTTCGGTGATCGGCGATCTCCGTGACACTCTCACTGTGGCGAGGAGGATCGCCTTGTGATCTTCGAAGCGCACAACGAATAGTGCGCTGACTTTGGCGAGTTTCGATGGAACGTAAGCGTCATAAAACAAGTGATATCGGGCTTTGCATATGCGACGTTTTTACGGACTAACACTTCGCAATTAGATGCGTTCAACAATGGCCTTGCGTTCGATGATGAATTTCGATCGGAAGTTCTCGCATCATCATGTTATGCTTCCCCTTGCATAATACGCACTGTTCGGCTTCGATATCGCGACGTTCAGAGTGAGTGCTCGTTTGATAATAGAATTTATGAGTATCTCGTGATCTGGTGAGAACTCACTCGTTTGTGATTCCCATTCAAGACGAGTCTTTAGATTAAAGAGCTCAATGACGAAGTAGTTGAAAACGTCAAAGCCGTGTGATTGGATTGGTCTCCCGATGCTCTCTTGACTGTTCACAACTAGTTACAGCGTTGTAAATACGGTTCAATTCTTTGGCGTATCGCTTTCATTTTCGCTTTTCATTTTCGCCATGGCAGTAAACGGAAAAATTGGAATATGCTAATTCCTTTTTGTTTTCATAATGCTTGCATAGCAATGCCAACGCCAATGGGTCATTGGCTCCAATCACCGCTAATGGTCGAATTAATTTTGGAGGAGTGGGGGGGGGTCCTCCAGGCAAGACTTCAAATAATGAAATCTTTAAACATTTACGATCGACGGATTGTCCCCGACAATGGACTGGAAGATGTCACGAAACGTAGGCCAATTCTCAAATCCGAAAAAGGGATCGAATTTTCAAGCGAAATAAAGACGTTTTGGAGGAATGATACTTGAGTCCTGTTTAAGAGCGGAATTAGACGCAATGACTTTGAGCTTTAAGACATAGTTGTTTAGTAGGTTTTTGTTGTGCCGCTTATTTTATAACATGGTTTGCGGATCCATAAAGAACTTCGGGAGATGATATTAGACAGTCTTGTAGTTTTAAGTAAAAATATATTTAGCAGTTTACACAGCAGATAACACCAGTGATTTTTTTATTAGAATTCTTCTTAGCACTATTCGCGTCATAGATATTACAATTTCATTGAGACGACAGGCAAAGTAACGCAATAAGTTTCTTTCAAATTTGTGACCGCATTCACGATCGCGCTTATATATCTTGATTTTCACAGTAACCTTGCCCTTTCCGCGTTGGCCCGTCAGCATTCCGTTTATCCAACGAGGCCAGTTTTGCGCAAACTTCTTGCGTCCGCGTTTCTACTGTTTATACTCAGAATCTTGTTTTATATTAATTATATTTAATAAATTCGTTTTGGCAATATCTTGGTTTAATTTTTGATTGTTGATATTTTCTGGCACGTTCTTAGCGCAATTGTCACTTGTGTAATTAGCACTCGTGACACTTTGCTGTTGCACGTAAGTGATTTCGACAGAACCAGTATAAATCCAGAAGTATTGTACTTACTTTCGCAATATGATTCCTTCAGTTGTGCTCAAAGGGAGTGTCCCGATTGCGCACATTATCGATCGGACATGACAGTATTTCTCAATCGAACACGGACCCGATTAGACACAAATCGGACACAGACTCGATTGGATACAGACTCGATCGAACATACAGCGTTGCATTAGGACACAGATTGCACACCGCTCCGCTTGCGTACAGATCCGATTACATATCGATCCCCAATTGCATACAGATCCGATTGCGTACAGACCCGATTGCGCACGATCCGATTGAACACAGACTCAATCAGACGCAATAATCGATCGGAAAAACGGGGAAAATATTAGTAGGTGATGAAAAACATAAATAAGTTTTTAAATATTCACGCGAAGCGATTCTCATTTTCTCTCCCCCCCCCCTCCCCGCCCTCGTAAAGTAGCGCATAGCTTCTATAATTATACTGTTGTTAAGATTAGAAAATCTGTTATATGTAGGCAGTAAGATGTATAGACTATTGGTTCGGGACGGATAGGCATTACGAGGGTATATGCATCAATTTTATTGTAATTAATTTTTTTAAGCTATGTTTAACTTAAAAAATTAACTTAACAAAATGCTTAAAAAAAATTAATTAAAACTGTACATTACAACCCGAAATAAAAACAAAAGAAAATGTCGGGTTAAAAATATCCATTGTGTATGCACCGCGATTTTTTTCCGCGTATTCCGAAATAATGTTCACTTTTTCATGATTAAGATATGAGAAAAAAGCATATATATTACACTACTTACAAGTAACGCTATCCATACGCCGATTTTCCTGAGACTGTGCATACATGTAGTATATTGAAAAATATTTAACACGTATTTTTTTATATCTGCCAAAAAGCCATTTTAAGGGTAGAAAACGCTCTTATGAATGTATAGGGATGAATTCCAGTATTTGAGTACGAAGTACTCGTTTGTTACAGAATGGAGTATACGTGATTTTTGAATTTGCTGGATCCAAATCTGCTACCAATTTTTGAGAATTCAATGATGGAACCAATGGCGGATCTGATCTTTTTAAAATGAAGACAACAAGATATTCTCCCTTTCTGCCAAACTTAGGAATAACCAATGTAGAGATGGTGAGAAACTTTCCTTTTCTTTATATTTTTTATTTTTTTGGATTTTTGAAAAAGTTTTTTATTTCAATTTTTGAAAATTTTAAAGTCAAATATATAAAAAAGCTGAAAATTATTATTATTAGATGCTCACACTTTATATTCAATGTCAGTGCAATAATGTGGAGAGTTTTCGTTTGTGATTGTGAAGCTATATACACATGGACTTATTGCACCAAGCATATCTTTTTGCAATACACATCTTATTATAATATTATTGCAAAAGTTACAGACAGCTTCACAATTCTTCAAACAAAAATCTGAAGAAGTTTTGCATTTGTCTGGTTTTTTGTGATGTACTCTTTCACCAAGCGTACCTGAATACATTCTTAAATCTAGGTGAGGAGAATTGATTATGTATTAAAGACTGTATTTTGAGGATGTTATTTCTTAAATGTAAATTTACGTCATAATTATATAATATGATTAGGTCCGAAAATTATTTTTAAAAATTCTTCTAAAATTTGAAAGTGTAAACATCGAGCGATGAATCAAGCTAATTGTTTCAGCAGGAATCGTAAGAATTTTGACGTTTTATGGCTTTATCTACATCGTCCATTTTTTTTCAGTTTGTCCAGAACATGCATTTAAACAAAGAACAGATTCTTTGCCGATGTTTGATAAAAAGACATCTGTGAACCATTTAATGGCAAGATTTGATGTCAGTTTGTCCGATTTTGATGCAAATGTGACGATATTGTCTGCCTTATATAAAATTTTTTCGATGATTGGTCTAAATTTACTACCAGTCTCTTGCAGGAGCAAGATAAAAAAATGTGTCTCTAGAGTCAGTTCAGCAGCACAGATTTAGAAAAGTGTCTGATCTTAAATTACAAAATTTCGAAGTTTTAGAAACAATTCAAAAGTGTGTCTGATAAATCGCTTTCTGTTCATGACATTGATCTGAAAAGATGAGCTTCACGGGCTAAAGAGGAAGTTGTTTGTCATGTGAATTACTCACCGATTTAAAAATGAGTCCATAATTTTAAAGTAAAGCATTGTATCAAGAAAGATCAATAAATTTGAGACTCAAAAACAAATATTGACAAAAGAAAAATTAATGCAAGAATCTCGTGAATTCGACTCTATAGTGAAATCAGAGTTGTTATGATAAGAGAAAGCAATATTTTCAATTCAGATCAATCGAAATTTAATTTAGAAACACATGCATGTCGCACGCTAATATTAAAAAGCTCTTCAAAAGTCGAATGTCTAGCACTATTCTTGAATTCCTTGACTCATAGCTACACTATCCAACCAGTCGTTTCTACCGATTTAAAATCCCTTTTCTTGATAGTTCTGCAAGAAAGTGGTGGTAAATTTAGACCAATCATCGAAAAAAACTTTATATAAGGCAGACAATATCATCACATTTGCATCAAAATCGGGCAAACATCAGATCTTGCCATTAAATGGTTCACAGATGTCTTTTTGCCAAACACAGGCGAAGAATCTGTTTTTTGTTTAGATATATGTTCTGGATAAATTAAAAAAAATTGGACGATGTAGATAAAGCCAATAAAAACGTTAAAATTCTTACGATTCCTGCTGGAACAATTAGCTTGATTCCGCTCGATGTTTACACTTTCAAACCATAGAAGAATTTTTTAAAATAATTTTCTGACCTAATCATATTATATAATTATGACGTAAATTTACATTTAAGAAACAACATCTTCAAAATACAGTCTTTAATACATATTTAATTCTCCTCACCTAGATTTCAGAATAAGATACGCTTAGTGGATGAGTGGGTCACAGAAAAGCCAGACAATTGCAAAACCCCTTCAGATTTTTATTTAAAGAATTGTGAAGCTGTCTGTAACTTTTGCCATGATATTGCAATAATAAGATATGCTTGGTGCAATAAGTCCATGTGTATACAGCACTTTTTCGTAATCACAAACAAAAACTTTCCACGTTATTGTCCTATACTATGCACTGACATTGAATATAAAGTGTGAGCATCTAATAATAATAATAATATTATCTCCAGCTCTTTTATATGCTTCACTTTAAAAATCTTAAAACTTTAAACA